CGGGCTCGAGTAGGTTTTCGCACTCATTCGAGGGGGTGCGAGGTCCTTCCCTTTGCCCCTCTCGACCCCTCGCGCTCGACTGCGCCCCTTGGTGCGGGGCCGAGCAAAATTCGAGGGGGTGCGTCGGAGTCGCTGCTGGGCGCGTCTCCAAGCTTCCGCCGGCTGGCTGGCCGACGGGTGCTCGTCGGAGTGTTTCGCGCGGCCGTGGTGGGCGGCAAGGGCGTGGATCTTTTTTGGCGTATTTTGTTTATTCCGACCGGAATAGCGAGGTCTGGTCGCCAGGGCGGCCAGCCTCGCCGGCGCTGCCCGTCTCTTGGGGCAACTTGGAGGGCGGCGTCGCTGGCCGGCGATCAATCGAGAGACGTCGCAAGGCCAGGTTTGACCACGCTGTCAGAGGCCGCTTAGCAGTTCGAACTGCTCTTGGAAGGTTAGTGCTCGATGGGGGTGCCGCTTTCTTCGGCGCGCCCTCTGCGTCGACTTCGCTCGACGCCGACAGTGTGCGCCGCAGTGTAGATCCCATTTTGGTCCTTTGGCTTGCCGCGAGACGCATGTACCTGAGCGTTTTGCTCGCCCTCGGCGTCCAGCTTCACGTGGCCCCCAGTTGCCTCTGGCGCTTGAGGTCTTTCGCTCTGGCCATCGGGCCTAATTGGGGGTTATAGGCTGGGCGCGGGCCCGCCCGGCATATGGCCGTCTGCGTGCTCGGCGATTCAATCTTTGAGCTCAATTCCCGGTTCCAGCCGGGGCTCGCGGCGCAAACGCGGGTCGATGACGCGAAGATATGAGCTGAAGGCGCGGTGGAGCATGTCACCGCGCAGGTTGGCTTTGGTCGCTGCTTTCAAGATTACTTGCTTTTTCTGTCTCGGGTGCGTAGCGCCTCGTTGCCTCGTCCGCCGGCATTGCCAAAGCTGTCGCTCGTGGGCCCGAGCATGTTGGCAGTGCCGTCCAAGCGTCGAGTGCCTCGCGTGATCCTAGCGTTGACATGGGGGCGGCATGTCCGCGCCAGAGGTACAGGGGCCCTTCGACTTTGGGGGTGGGGGGTCGAGGGGGGCCGCGGACCGGCCCCTCTCAGGAGTCTGAAACCACGCGGCAGACTGGCGCTTTTCAAGACGGAAGCAGCGCCTCAAGAGATGCACGGGTTTAAAGTTTTCGGCCCCCACCCGGCCGTTTCAATGCGCTTCGGCGTTCGGCGGCGAGATCTGCTTGGGAGCAGAAGAAGGGGGTGTGCTTCACGATGGCCCCTGCTCTCAGGCTCGGGCCCCGCGATCCCGCCGTCGCTGCTGTCCCGGGCTTGCTGGTCGAATGGCCTCGAGTTCCCATGATTGGCCCATGATGAGCAATGCTTCTTGCATTGGCCAAGCCTGGGGGGCGCGCGCGCGCCGGGGCCCGAGCCGCCCCAGGCAGACGAAGGCGGCCCGACATCAAAGGGTCCACCTGGGCCGTCGCACCCCCCGCCCCCCACCTTGAGCGGGGCGCCCCGGGGCTTCCGTCGAGAGCAAGCAGTGGGCAGGAGCGGCCGCCCAGCACTTGGGGGGCGGACTGCAGGGCGGAGCGGATCTGTCTAGCTTCCGCCAGCTGCTAACCAAGCTTCGAGAGCTGCCATCGAGTGCGCGGCGGCAGCGGGCTTGCGTCCCAGACAGTGCGTTGCTGAGTGCGTCGCTGGAGAGTTTGCCCCCGCTTGCCCGAGGTGCGGGGTGGCCCCGGAAACCCGCGAGCACCGTGCGTGGGAATGCAGATGTCCTCTAAATTCGCCCAAGCGTGCTGCGTCGGAGATTTAGTTGAAGCTGCCGCTGTAGCCGTCAATTCGAATGCCGGCGATCTGGTGTCGGCTTCGAGGAATGCCCTCCTCGCCCCTGGCCTCTGCGTCGAAACGCGCGACGTCGCGCGCCCTTTGGATAGCGTAGTGAGCCGCCCAGCTTTGCGCTTTCCGCGCGACGTTTCTGAGGGGGGGGGCCGAGGATTGGGCGGGGCGTCTGCGTGCGGGGGGCGGGTCGGGAGGTGAGCGCGCCGGGGCCCCCGGGCTTCGCGGGCGCGCCTGGTCTCGGACTTCGGCCGGGCGCGCGAGCTTTCGGTCGCGCGCGGGCGGTGCGCGGTTCTCGCCGGCAGGCGCCCAGCCAGAAGTGATTCTGACTGCGTCGGTGATGTTTCCGAGGGCCTGGCGCTCCTTCGACGAGCACGAAAGAACCCTTGGCCTGAATGGTGCGATGTGATGCGGCCTCGCTGAGGGTTCCGCCCACGCATGAGGGGTCATAATTCCGGGCGGTTTGGCTCGGTGCATCTGCGGCGCAGACCCAGCATCCTTTGCTTTTTTGGCCCTCCTAAGTTAGGCCCCCCCAAAAGGGTTAGGGGTTCTCTTTCGGTGAGTCATTCTGCGCTGGCAGCTCTAACGTGGAGCGAGGTTTTTAATGTTTGCGCAGCCTTTCGATTCGCCAATCCAACCAGGACTTGTGGCGCGCGGCCGCGTGAAGTTTCGAATCGTATGCACGTGGGAATGCCGTCCTAATTTAGGCAGGGGGTCGCGTGGACTCACGTGGATTTAGAGTCGGTGGGCCCCCTGAGATGTTCCGACGTGCGTCCCAGGAGATTGATGGGATCGCGGGGTTGAAACCGCTCATCATTGCCGGGTGCCTCAGGGCGTTGCAGGCAGTGTCTCGAGCATAGACGCCATCGCATCTCAGGTTCTTTCTCGCCTCGCAGCCGCCCTAGTCGCGTCCGTTGGCCACGATTCCAGGGGGCAGAGAGAGAGAGAGAGAGAGAGAGAGAGAGAGAGAGAGAGAGCGGGCCAAAGCATTCGAAGGCGCTTCGAAAGTCGGCTTGTCCTGTCTAGAGAAGGCTGTCGCCTCTTCCCCCGTCGCCATGGTTTGTAAGTTTTAGGATCTCGAATTTCGTGTGCCATATGATGGCAGAAGTAAGCCCGCAGCTCCATTGTCCAGCGGTTGGCGCCCAGTGCAGTTCGATCGATCCTCCTGCAGCCCCTACCTCATGCGCGGCCTGCCCCATCATAATCGGCAGCCAAGTGGCGCGCAGCTTTCGCGCGCGGCAGTATTTCGAGCACGCAGGCGGGTGGTCGGGCTATAGGTATGGACAGAGCCATCCAAGGCTTTGCTCAGGAGTGCTCTCTCGTCAGGCTTCCATCGGAATTGCAAACGGTCTGCGCAAGCTCCGCAAGGGGCTGCTTCCTGCTGCCTCCGCCCGCGCGAAGGCCTTCAACGAGAAGGCCTGCGCGGAAATGGGCGCTGTGGCCCACGCCCCTGGCCCCGCTGCTCCTCTGCCTCCTCCAGTGGCTTCCAGGCCTGGCGTCGCTGGGCTGTGAGGCCCGCCTCTGCTCGGGCGGTGCGATCGCGGCCATCTCGGCGGCGCCCTCTTCGGCGGGGCAGGCCCGCGGCGCAGCGTCGGCGCGCCGAGTGTTGCGCCCCGCCCAGGCCAGCCCCGCCCAATGGGGGTGGGTTCTTAGAAACACCCATGCTGCTTAGACGGCGCGGGCCTTCTCCGCAGATGTAGGGCCAGCGCCTTTTAAGAAACGGCCTCTTTCCAAGAGGCCGTTCCCCCCCCCGCTCCTGTGTGCGCGCCGCCGACAAAATTCTGCGGAGCTGGGGGCTTCGCGGCGCCGCGCTGCCGCCGCGCCTGCGCCTCCCGTTGGGTCGCCCATCGCCGCCTGTGCCGCGCTTGTGGCGCGGGGGGCTTGTGTGGCGCCGCTGTCGGGCCTGCGCCGCGGCGGCGCCGTCGGCGCCGCGCGCGCAACGACAGGGGGGCGCGCGGTGTGGAACCCCAGGGTGGGATGGCTGTGGACGAAGGTGGAGGTGCCGTTGGCGGTGGGGAGCTGACCGACGACAGCTGGGCCGACGACGCCGAGGTTTCTGCGCGCGTTCTTCGTGGCGTTGCCGTGGTCCTGCGCGGCCGTCTGGCTGTTCTTGGCCCCGCGCGGCTCTGGCGGTGGACGCTGTAACGCACACGGGCTCTTCGCGTGGCGTCGTGGAGCCCCTGGCCGACCAGGGGCACGTGCAGCTCGCGCTTGATTTGGAACAGCTGCAGAGCCTCTCGGGCGGGCTCCGGGGCCGCGGCGGCTCCGGAGCACGGAGGGGATCGCGCGGGGCGGGATGGGGGCCCAGCCGCTTCGCGTGCTGGGTTGCCTCCCCCTCCCCCTCCCTGCGCAAGGTGGTGTTCGTCGGCATGTGGGAGCCCAACGACACGGTCGGGGACCTGGCGCTTCAGGTGGCGTCCAGGTCCCCTCGGGGACGGCCGACCGACTCGTCGCCTGTAGGTCGCGCGCTCCTCCTCCTCCTCCTCCTCCTCCTCCTCCTCCTCCTCCTCCTCCTCCTCGTCCTCTTCCTCCTCCTCCTCCTCGTCCTCTTCCTCCTCCTCCTCCTCTTCCTCCTCCTCCTCCTCCTTCCCCTCCTCTTCTTCCTCTTCTTCCTTCTCCACCCCCTTACCCTGATTTCCCACCTCCTCTCGCCTTTCCTGGCTCGCGACCGCGTCTCCCACGCGTTCTGTCATAACGCCTTTCGCTGCAGCAGACTGGCTGGCTCTGGGCCTGGTGGCTGTGTTCTCTCTGGTTGGCCAGGGGCTGGCGCGTGGATCGACCTGGCCCCGCTGGGAAGCTTAAGCGGCAACCCCTGTAGGCGCGAAGGTGCAAAGGCTATCGCGCAGCTGCCCGGGGGCCCGGATCGCATCGCGCTGGGTGATCGCCCGAATGTGGGCGCGAAGATGATCGCGCTGCCGCTCGAAAGCGGTAACAGCTGCCTGGGCCCGAGAGGTGCGAGTGGACCGTTCTCGCGGGCGCGAGGGCGACCTGGGCTGCGGGCCCGCCCAGCCCCCCCACCCCACGCGAGCGCGAGAGGCTGCCTCGCGGGGCCCGAGGGCGCGAGGGGGCGCGACGCGGGAACGCGAATACGATCGCGCCTCCGGCGGAGCTGCCCGGTCGACGTGGCAGCCCACGGGCCCCGGAGGCCCGCCGCGCCCGCGGCCGCGCCCGCGGCCGCGCCGGCGCTGCCGCGCGCGCCCAGGCGTGCGCAATGGCCCCGCTGCCCAGCGGGGACTGCTTCGGGGCGTCCGCGCTGCACTTCATGTCGGACTCAGGCCCTGGGCCTTGGCGTGGGGGGGGGAGGCTTCAGATTTGGGGAAGCAGTTCGGGAGGAGGAGGAGAAGGCGGAGGAATAGGAGGAGGAGGAGGCGGAGGAGGAGGAGGCGGCGGAGGTGGAGGAGGTGGAAGAGGTGGAGGAGGAGGAGGAGGAGGAGGAGGAAGAGGAGGAGGATCATTTTTATATCGCGTCCTGGGCAGGGACCACACTGCCTTACCGACAAGGCAACGAGCAGCACCCTGTCTCTCAGCGTCGGGGATGCTAAGGATGCCGTGGCGCAGCCCCGTAGGTATGCAACTTCTGTGCCGGCAGCCTTTGGCACGTGCAGGGGGGATACTGAAAGCCTGCCACCTGGAGTGGCAAAACCCAAGGAACTCAAGCAGCTCACGCGGGGAGACGGTGAGCAGGGAAAGGACCAGCATTTGTCGTTCATTGCGGTGTCTGTGTGTGTGTGCGTGTGCTGACGACATGCTCCAGCCAATCCCACACATTGAGAGAGTAGCCGCCGAGATGGGCCCCTTGCAACGGCACCACGTCGTCTTAGCTCTGAGCCCATCCCTGATGGCCATCCAGGCCTCCCAGAGCAACCACAGGGACATCTTTGTATCCCAGATGACTGCCGCATACCGCATCAGCAAAACGATCGTAACATCACACGCAGGATCGACATACTTGCCCCTCTGTATCGCAAGCCAGGCCGTTAGAGATCCTGACCTTCTTCGCGCCAGCGAGGGACTCCGCGAGCGTGCTGGGAGACACCAGGGTAGCATCTGACAAGCCGCCCACGCCAGCGCCGTGCGCACCAGCTGGCAGCAGATCTGTCCTCGACAGCGTACCTACCTTGGTTGGGGCACCTCTCCTGATGGCTTGGAGCTTTTACCTTCGCTTCCAGACCTGAAGACGGACTCGCTCCTGAAACCTTGGGGGGTGCCCACCAAAGATCTCGTGCCCTAGATTCCTTTTGTGCCTGTGCCCTTTCAGCCTCATGGTGCAAGCACGACCTTCGACGCACCACGAACGGCAGAAACAATTTTTCCGCTCTTGAACACCTGGAGCGCAAGTCCAACCTTACAAACCTTCCCACCCAACCACGAAACAGCCTCAAGGAGTGGTCCTTAGTCCCTGAGGTTGTCCCCGATCCACTGAACACCAGCGTCGTCCATGAGGGACCGAGGCTTCGCTTTTTCAAACGCGCACTCAACTTGGCTACTATCCGGTGTAACAAGAGATGCATCAGAGTGGTCGCGTGGCTACATCCAGCAAGTATTCCGTGGTTACTAACCGCGTGCCTGGACAAATACCCGAACGCCCTGGGCCACTGGTAGACCCCAAGGAACATCCAGATCATATTCGAGGAGTACTTCAGGGTTCGTGCCTCGTCAAGAAGTCTGGCCCGTATGATACATTCGTAGCACGAATACATATCTAAAAAGACTCAGACCGCGTGCTTCCTGACCGCACATGCAGTCGCGGCGTACAGGTTGTGAGAGAAGGCGGCTTCGGAGGAGGAGGCGGATCCGCTACCCCAAATGGCGGGTTGCCTGTTGTGGCGTTCCCAGCCCATGCAGACTTGCCTCCTGAGCTTCTACCAGATGCTCACAAGACTGTTCAACAGAGCTATCAATCTGTGTCCGCCCGTGGGCTTGCTGAGTCTCACGAGCCTGGTGCGAACAATACTTACGGGGTGGACAAAACCTTCGTCCGAAACAACTTCAGGGACCTGGGGTGCAACCTGAACTGTCCCCAGGCGGTCCCGGCAGGGAAACTCCTCATGGCCCCGCGGATCGCGCTCGCACCTCTGTCAGGCAGTGGGTCAGTCTGTTCCGCATCGCTCAGCAGCTCGGGGCCAGTGCAGTTGTGCGTCGCCCGCGCGTGCTGCCCCTCGTCCACGAACTCGTCGGCCTGCCCGTAGGGCTCGTGCGCGTCGGCGTCCGGGGCCACCTCCTGGCAAGCTCACGCCCACGACCGTGCCCGTGGGCGCGCGCCGCCCCTCCGGCAAGAGCACCGTTGGCCCCCCGCGACCCGCTCCGCACGCGGCTTCTCCGCATCTGCCATCGCCTTGGCATCCACCGCCTCCAGTAGGGGGCCACATGTGAACCTTGCCCCTAACCCCCACGATTTCTGAGGGGGAGGGTGGGGTTCACTTCTGCTGGGAGCTCCCGAGGCAAAGCAAACCCCACCCTCCCCCTCAGAAATGGTGGGGGGTAGGGGTAGGCTTCACATGTGGCCCCCTATCCAGGCGATCCCGCGCCTGCTCGCCAAAGGCACCATCGATTCACCTGGGCTCGGCCTCGTCGCAGCAGGCGCGGGCGGCATGCGACGGGTCTTCGCGCGCCCACCGACCCTCGCTGAGCCCGGCTGGAAGACTCGGCCAAGTCGTGCAACGCCTTTGCAGTCTTTCAAGCGTCGCGCGCGCCAATTTAGACGAGCTTACCAATCAATCGGGGCCGAGCCCACCGCGCCCTTGGAGGGCGTCGAGGGCCGTGGCCCGCGGAGGGCCCTGGGCGGGCGTTCGTTGAGCTCCTTGTTGGACACTGGCAGAAGCGAGATGAACCAACGTATGCCAACGTGTCCGCATGCGCCGTCGATGTTTGTAGCGCGCGCGAGCTCGGCAGCTCTCACTGCTGCCGCCGCTAGCCAGGGAATTGCGTGTCCGCGCTCGCCCTCCAGAGCCAGGCCCCGTTCCGAACCAACACGACCATCCAGAAACAATTCGTGCGAGGTGCCTTTGGAGGCCTCGCGATGGTTCGTCGCGAATCGGAGGCTCCTTGTAGCGAGGGGCTGTGCCAGCATCGTGCGCGCGCGTTGGCAGGCGATCCTGCTATCTTATTGGCGCGGCTTGTATGTTTGTGATTTTCGTTTCGTGCGTGTGCTGTGCCCAGTGCGGCCGCTGCGCCTCGCGTGCTTGGCGTGCCGCTGGTTTTCCCAGCGTGCACGCGGCGCGCGCGCGCTGGTCGAGGGTGGCCCCCTGCGCGTCAGGTCCTCGCTTTCAATTCGCGGCGCTTTTCGCCTCATCCCGTCTGTTTGTCTCTCCTCTCCTCTTCTCCTTTTCTCCTCCTCCTCCTTCTCGTCCTCTTCCTGCTCTTTTTTCTTTCCGCTTCGTTTCCTCATCATTCATCCTTTTTAGTATTGCGTGGTATGCTTTCCTTATGTGGCCGCGCCACGGCAATTTCATCGCGCCCTTCGCGCCGCGCGCTGTTCGTTGTCCCCGAGCGATTTGTTTTTGAAAGTCCCTGCGGTGCAAACCGCGCGCGGGTGCCGCGACCAGTCTAGCGCGCCCATCGCGCAGTTCGCGGTCCCATGTGCAACCTTGCCGACGCGATGTGGTCGCGCGCCGCCTCCCCGACCATTCCAGATCAACGTTCGCAGGTTTCGTGGCCCCGTGAGGAGCTCAACCGAAATCCCGCAGAACACAGGCCGCACGCCGCGGCCGAGATTATTTGAGGCCGCCCATCTCGCGGTTCGCGGCTCCATATTTTTGGAATTCCATCAACGACCCCCGCGGCGCAGGCCGGGCGCCGCGTCCGTGCCATTTCGTCGCACCCGCCGCGCCATTCGTGTCCCCATAGGGAACGCCACCTGATGCCTTGTGGCATAGGCCGCTGGCCCCCGCCCAGACCATGTCAGCTCATTCAGAACGCGATGCGCGCACCCCCGGGGAGGTCTACATTTTTTTTCGCACGGGGCGCATGCCACCGCGCAGACAGTTGCAGCAGGCCCATAGAACGATTCGCGGTTGCCGCCCAGACTAGTTCAGATCGCTTGTCATGTGTTTCGTGGCGCCATAAAAAATGGGGTTCCGCTGAAGACGCTTGCGACGCAGGCCGCGCGCCGCCGCCCAGACCACTTCAGCTGTCCTCGCGCGATCGGTGGCCGCATTCGGAAATTCCGCTGAAAAGGTCTGCAGGCACAAACCGCACGCCACCGCCCAGACCATTGAGCACACACCCCTCGCAGTTCGTGGCCCCATAGGTACCCCGCCGACAGCGTTTGCGGCACGTGCCGCATTGCGCCGTCCAGACCATTTCAGCAACATTGCTCGCGTGTTCAGTTGCCAAATTTGGAGCGCAGGCCGCGCGCCGCCGCCCCCGGCGGTGATACTGATGCTGATGATGTTGATGATGCTGATGATGATGAGGGTGATGATGATGCTGGTGATGATAACGATGGTACTGATTGTGCTGATGTCGATGATGATCATGCTGACAATGGTGACGCTGACGATAATTATGATGATGCTACTGCTGCTGCTGATGATGCTGATGCTGATGCCGCTGCTGCTGATGAGGATGGGGTCGGTGATGCTGATGCTCATGGTGATGCTGATGCTGTTGCTGATGCCGCTGTCGTCGTCGTCGTTGTTGTTGTTGTTGTTGTTGTTGTTGTTGTTGTTGTTGTTGTTGAACAATATTTATTCTAAAGAATAATTATTGTTGGGGCCCCTGGTGCGCGGCCCCCTCGCCGCGCCTTGGCCGCAGCCACATTTTCATCATTTTCGTGAGGAAGTCTCAGGCAAAACGTGGGTGTCCGGATCCGGTTGTTTTGTTGTCCCCCGTTTTCCCTTGCAAAAAATAAGCTAAAGTTGACATTTCTTGTTCTAACATAACCAAACTTCAAGAATCCCTTGCAAAAAATAAGGTAAAGTGGACATTCGCGCGCGCAAGTCGAAATCCTTCCAAAACCTTAGTGTTCGTAGCGATTTCAACATAAAAACATAAAAAACCAATGGTTTTTCAAAACAAAATGTCAAAATTTCATCCCGCGCGCTCTTGCGGATTTGTCGGAAACCCAACACTTTTTAAACATTTCTGTCAGATGGGCTTTTCCGAACAACTTGTTCACCTACTTCGAACTTCTCCAACAACGTGGGTTTTTCAAACAGAACAAGAATGAGCATATAACAGCAACGGAAACAAGTCCTGTGGTATGCTGGCGCCACGCACGTGGTACCACTCAAAATAATCTTTGCTTGTGTGGTACAGAAACGGAAAAACGTCGGAAAACGGTACAGGTGTCCAGTGTTGGAACAGGGGGATAAGTCGTATACTAAGCTAGCTTCCACAAAATGTTACCACAACAAGTCATTGTACCCATGCGCCAGTGTAGTAGCCAAGGTCGTCCGCAGGCCACGAAGTGAAGTGTCCGAACGTCATAGGGCGGGAAGCTGGGTGTGGGTGGTGGCGAAGAGTCGTTTGGAAACTTGGTAGAGCTTGAACCGGCCCCCCCACAAAGTGGGGGTATTGCCCGCCTCCTATGAAAACCCTGGCACTGGTGAGAACGGAGTGTCCCCAGTCTTAAATGATTGTTGTTGTTGTTGTTGTTGTTGTTGTTGTTGTTGTTGTTGTTGTTGTTGTTGTTGAATTCTCATTTTTGAAAAATTATTACTGTTGATCCCCCCACCGGTGCATATTGTTTTTTCTCGATCAAAGTGTGCCCCATCGACGCTCGCACCCTGTTTTTGACAGGGAAAGTCTTCCTGCTCAAACTGGCCCCTTGGCCCCCGGGTTACAACAACAACGGCTCCCGCTTGAGACTTCCTGACAATTTAGCCAGGACCCCCGCTCCCGCCCGAGACTTCCTTGCATTTTATGCAGGAATCGCGCTCTCGCTTGGGAGTTCCTTACAATTTATTCAGGAATCGCTCTCCCGGCGGTCTGGAGTCGCGCTCTCGCTGGAGACATGCTTGCAACTTACTGAAGAATGGCCTTGCGTTGGAATTTCTTGCAATTTGCCCAAGCGCCGCGATCCTGACACCCAGTCACCCAGGAATCGTTCCCGTTGTGGCCCCATGTGCGTGCCCTTCGTGGCCCCGCTGTCGCCATTTGTGTCCCCCTCACTGTCCTACGTGGCCCAGTTGCTACCTTCAGTGGCCCCATAGTTGCCTTCTGTGGCCCCGCATTATCTGCACTTCGTGGCCCCCGTTCGTTCGCGTTCTTCGTGGCCCCATACGCATTCCCTTCGTGTCCCCGCTGTCGCCCTTCGTGGCCTACTTCGTGCCCTTCGTGGCCCTGCTGTCGTTCTCTCTCGCTCTCGCTTTCGCTCGTCGTCGCCGTCGTCGTCGTCGTCGTCGTCGTCGCCGTCGTCGTCGTCGTCGTCGTCGTCGTCGTCGTCGTCGTCGTCGTGGTCGGTCCCCTGTCCGTCCCTCTTGGGGTCGGGTCGACGGTCCGCGGCCGCCCCGCCGATCAGCGCTGCCGCTGGCCGGGCGACGGTCCGCGGCCGCCCCGCCGCTTGCCGGGGCCCGGCCTGCAGGGAAGAAAGGTATACCCCCCAAAGGGGTGCGATCGAAGACGAAGAGGGCGGGTATCGAGGGTTTGTGAAATACGCGTTATTGGACACTCGAGCATATAATGGCGATCAGTCTTAAACTTATTGCTGTTGTTGTGGTTGATGGTGATGCTGCTGATGATGATGATGAAGACGATGCTGATGATGCTGATGATGATGCTGATGATGCTGATGATGCTGATGATGATGCTGCTGCTGATGATGAGGAGGAGGAGAAGGAGGATGAAAAGGAGGAGGAGGAGGAGGAGGAGGAGGAGGAGAACGAGGAGGAGGTGGAGGAGGAGGAGAAAAACGAGGAGGATGAAAAGGTGGAGGAGGAGGAAGAGCAGGAGGGAGGGAGGAGGGAGGGAGTGAGTGAGGGAGGGATGGGGGGAGGGAGGGAGGGAGGGAGGGAGGGAGGAGGGAAGGAATTGAGGAACAAGAAGAGGAGGAGGAGGAGGAGGAGGAGGATGAGGAGGAGGGGGAGGAGGAGGAGGGGGAGGTGCTGGAGGAGGAGGAAAGAAGGAGAAGGAGGAGGAGGAGAGGAGGAGGAGGAGGAGGAGGAGGAGGAGGACGAGGAGGGGGAGTAGGAGGAGGAGAACGAGGAGGAGAACAAGGAGAGGAAGTGGAGGAGGAAGGCGGAGGAGAGGAGGAGGAGCGGAGGAGGAGGAGGATGAGGAGGAGGAGGAGGAGAGGAGGAGGGGAGGAGGAGGAGGAGGAGGAGGAGGAGGAGGATGAGGAGGAGGAGGAGGAGGAGGAGGAGGAGGAGGAGGAGGAGGAGGAGGCCCTTAGCCGTGTGCGGCTGTGGACGGAGGCCTCAGCGGTAAGCTCGGCCCGCGCCTTCGCGGTGCATGGCGGCCGGGGCTGCCGCGGCGCCGGGGGCAGCCGCCGACCCTGCCCCCGGCGGCGGCAGCGCTTGGGCCAGCGGCCGCGGCGGGCCTGGCGCCCGGCCAGCGCCGCTCGCCCTCAAGAGGCTACGGCGCCTGAGGGATGCGCCTGCGCCTGCGCCTGCGCCAACGCAGCTGGCGGGCGCTGGTGCCGCCGCGGGCGCCGGCACATGGTCCGTGCCAGGCCTGGGCGACGCAGGCGGAGCGCCCTGCAGGGGCGTCGGAGGCGTCGGCGGGGGCGTTGGCGTGGACGCCAGCGCGGCGTCGGAGGCGCTGGCCATGCTGCGGGCGGTGAACTTCCCCGCGCAGGTGCGCCGCAAGGTGGTGGCGACCGTCGGCGGGGCCAAGGAGCCCAGGTCGCCCAAAGGGGGTCGGTGGATCGCGCCGCATCACCGACGCGTCGGCGATGCGGCTCGATGTGGAGCCCGATTTCCCCGCGCCGACGTCGCCGACGCATTGCGCCGACGTCGCCGATGCATCGCCGATGCCAGACGGCGCGATCCTCCGACTCCATCTATTCGGACCCCATTTGTGCGGCCTGCAAGGAGGCAGCGGGCCCGCGCTCTATGCCGCTGGGCCTCGTGCTGAGCTGGCGCCTCGGCATGGGAATCAGCAGGTTCACCGACGCCCAGGAGGCACTGACGCGGCTGCTGTGCCTCTCTGTTCGCACCGCGCGGCCCGATTTCCCGTTCACCTCCCTGCAGGTGAACAAAAACCATGCTTGCGCCCTCCACGTGGACAGCCGCAACATGGGGCCGTCGCTGATCCTGGGCCTGGGCGAGTACCTTGGCGGCGATCTGTACGTGCACGGCAGCGGGCGATTGGATGTGCGGGCGCGATGGTGCGAGTTTGACGGGAACGTCCCCCACCTGACATGCCCCTTCTCCGGGGAGCGCTACTCCGTCGTCGCCTACGTGCACGAGTCCTTCCGGAAGGCCTCTCCGCCCGACGAGGCCCGACTGCGCGCGCTGGGATTCCAGTGGCCGGCGCGGGCACCTGAGCCTACGGGCCGCCGGGCAAGGCGCGGGGGCGCGGCCGCCTCCTCGGCGCTGCTCCGTGAGGCCGCGGGCGCGTTGCCCTGGGAGCTGCAGGTCCTGGTCTGCCAGCGGACGCTCAGCCCGCGGCCGCTGGTGCCGCCCGCGAGGCGCGAGAGGCTCGACGGGCGCTTCGAGCAGCGCGTGGCGGAGCTGGAGCGGTGGGTGCGGTCGCACGGCGGGGCGCTGCCGACCTACGCCCTGGCGGTGCGTGCTGCCGGAGGCGAGGAGGCGCGCCTGGGCGAGTTCCTCAACCGCACGCAGAAGGCGGCCGCGAGCGGGAGGCTGGCGGGCGGCCGGCGGGAGCGCTTCGCGCGCCTGCCACAGCTGCGCGACAGGCTGCTGCAGTGGGAGGCCGCTGGCGGCGCGCGGCTGCCAGGGGCAGGGAGGGGCGCCGGGGGGAGGCTGCGACGACCGGTCCAGGGTCGAAGTGGCTCCTCTCTCTCTTCTCCTCCTCCAGGAGGCTGGGGCTGCGGACCTGTCTGTGCGGTGCTGAGGCCCTCGTTGACCCTCCTCCCGGCCAACGCTGGGGGTAGGGTCAGAAAGCAATGGGCAATGGGTAGAGGAAGCACGAGGAATATTCTTCTTGTTGATGCGAAGACGACGGATCATAATATCAATCATAGTTTTCTATAAGAAGAATATGACTACCATTGCGAATAACATTGATAATGAACGACTGAACGGTGGCGACCATGTACGCTGCAAGGGGAGTGATGTGAGGCGGATGTGGGCTGTGTGCGCCACTCGGAGGGAGCCAGGCCGCACGCGGAGGAGCCCGACCTAAATGTGCTTGCACTGGTGGGTGGAGGGAGGCGGGTCGTCGCCGCCCTCCTCCCCCTCTCTCCTCTGCGCTCCAGGCATCTGTTGGTTGCGCCCCATCAGCAACATCCCCTCGCCATGGCGACACGGGCGCAAGAGTGTGTGTGTGTGTGTGTGTGTGTGTGTGTATCTGTGTGTGTGTGTCGCCAGCGGCGCCTGGCGAGCGCCCGTTGCCTGATAGGGCCCGGGGTGGGTGGCTTGCATGAGACTCGGCTGCTGGGCGCCCCGCCTGGGAGCTCCTGGCCAGCCGCCCCTGCGCCGGCAGGGCGCCGGCGTTTGCCGCCGCGGGCAGCGGGCCTGCTCCTGCTCCCGGCAGCGCGCGCGGGCGGCGCGGAGGCGGCTTGGCGGGCCGCCGTGCGGGCGCGCCGGGAGGCCCGCCTGGGGGCGCCAGCCTGATGAGGTGCACGCCGCAGGGCTGCGGGCCGCGCGCCCAGCCATCCTCTTCCCGCCCCCCCTCCCCCCTTCCCCTCTCCCTGCTCCTCTGCCACAGGGCTTCGCTGAATGGCTTCCTGTTGCAAGAAAGTGTGTGTGTGTGTGAAAGAGAGAGAGAGAGTGTGTGTGTGTGCTTGTGGGAGTAAACCTGCACAGTGTGGCGCAGATTTTTTTTGAGCGCTGCGCATGCGAAGATGTGCCCTGTCCCAGGGGCAAGCGATCTTGTTTGTGAGCCGTGCAGTGCGCGTTGCCAGCTGCATTGGACTTGCGAGCGTGCGCCGCTCTAGGCTGGAGGTTTCGCTTGCTTCGTTTTCCGCAGGCGGGCCCTGGCTTCGTCTGTTCGTGAGGCCTTCGTCGGCCCCCTTCGTCGCCGTCGCCAGCGGCGGCAGGAGCTCATACTTGCCCCCCCGCCCCCCCGCCTCTGAGGACAGCACAACTCACCTCCGCCCCCAAACAGGACCCCCACGCCCGACCTAGCGTTAAGTCGGGCCTGTCCCCCCTACAGGGGGCTTTTCGATGAAAAATAAAAATGCCCCCAACATAATTGAAAGATAGTCCCAAAATAGTCTGGGGACTATGTTTTGAGTATTTTTCGGCCTTTTGGGTGCATTTTCGGCGTTTTTTTTTTTTTTTTTTTTTTTTTTTTGTTTTTTTTTTTTTTTAAAAAATTTTCGCCGAACATCCCCCTGTAGGGGGACAGGCCCGACTGAAACCTAGCGATCCAGGGGGCCCTGGCTCGGGGCGGGGTGCTTCCATGCTGCTCCGGGGGGCCACGCCGCCCCTCCCCCCCCAGCCGGGAGCCTTGAGGGCCACGAGCTCGGGAGCGGGGGTCCTGGCTTTGGAGCGGGGGTGGGGCCGTGCCGTCCTCGGCCTCCCTCTCTCTCTCTTCCTTGGCATCGGACGTGCGCATTTCTTCTCGGCGAGGGCCATCGAGGAGCATCTTTCTGATCATTTAGCGAAACATGCACGCACGAGATCGAAGAATGCATGGGGAATGGACGTCCGAGCGATGGCGAGCTCCTGCCTGTAGCCGTCCTGGCCCGTCCGCCCCGCTGCCGAGCGGAGCCGTCGGATCCCCGCGCCGACAGAGAGCGCTCCGCCGCTCGCCGCCCTTGCGCCCAGCGGCCTTCTCACGGCCGGCGGCCCACGGCGGAGGCGCGCCGCCGCGGGGTGCGCTTCCGCGTGGGCGGCGCCCCGCCACGGCCCGCCCGAGCTCGCACCAGGGGCAGCGCCAGGGGGGGGGGGGCTGACGAACGAACAACACACACACACCCATACCCATAGGGGGGTTCGTTGGGAGGAGGACTGGCTATGGGTATGGGTGCGGGTTGTCGGACCCTGGGGAACGCTCCCGCTCGAACGGGGACCCCCATCCGACAACACGCACCCATAGCCCTCTCCGACCCCCCTATGGGTATGGGTGTGTGTTGTTGCTTCGTCAGGGGCAGGCTTGAATCGGGCATGTCCCTTTCCAGGAGGAGTATCCAAACATGGTAGGAGCAAAGAGCCGGTGCACGATCCATTCTTCCTGGCATGGTTTTTGTTTGGCTATTCTTCGTTTGTCTTCCGAAATCCGCCTGTCAATTCTCGGAGGTCCGCGCACGTCCGCGCAGATCTCTTGGATCGGTGCTTGACTCCAGCGCCCCCCTTTGCGCGATCCGCGCGCCAGGGAGGGGAGCCAGCGCCGGACCCGAGAGGCATTGGGACCGAACGAAACTCGGGGGTGGACAGACCTCCTACCCTGACACGTCGATTAAGGAATTGGCCGTTTTCGGTTCGCGAGAGGGCGTCGCGGCCGTCATCTTTGCGGGTCCAGGTCCGTCGGTCTCGGTCCCAGGCCGTTTTCTTTAAGGGGAGGTCTACTAAAGGGGAGGCTTGTCCACCGCCGAGCAACGCGGCCCGACATCTTTCCACTCCGTCGTCCGCGTCTCTGCTCCTCGATGCCTTCCTGCTGCCTCGTCCGTTCTTCTGCCCCCCCCCGCGCCCCGGCGCTGCCCGTCGCAGGCGAGGAGCAGTCGGCGGCCGCCCGGGCCTCGTGCAAGGCGCCCCAGGCGCGGAGGGGGGAGGGGGAGGAGGCAAGCTAGGTGCGCTCGCGTCATATCTGACGTCCTACCCCTCCCTCCCATCCCTTACCATGGCGCTGATTTTCTCTATCCGCGGACGCGTGTCGTAGCGGACCTGTGGCTCCGCGCGCGCGTACAAGGGACGCGGACGGTGGAGGGGGAGGGAGGACGAGGACGAGGACGTCACGAGGACAAGGATAAAACAGGGCCAGGATCGGGACAAATCGCTCCAGAGCGTTCCGGAGCGCTCTCAGAGCGTTCCGGAACGCTCTGGAGCGGCCGCGGCGCCCAATACACCCTCCAAACCCGCCGAGTCTCAGAGATTTCGAGTTATCCCGATCCGATTTTGTCCCGATCTTCGCGTCGTTTTAGGAGGGGGAGGCAGGACGAGGACGAGGACGTCACGAGGACAAGGACGAGGGCAAGGACAGGGACAGGGCGGAGGGTCGGGGAGGCAGGGCAGTGGCGTGGACGAGGACGAGGACGGAGGGGGGGAGGAGGATAGGGACGAGGAAGCGGGGAGGGTGGGGGGAGGCAGGATGAGGGGAGGAGGGGGGGCCGAGGCACAGAACAACAGTATAAACATAAGTTTCCTGAGCTCCGCGCGGATCTCTTAGGTCCGTGCTGGACCTTGGCAGCGCCTCCAGCGCCACCTCGCCAGGAACAGGGGTCCAACGCAGATCCAAGAAATCCGCGCGGACCTCCAAAAGTTTCTGTTTATGCTGTTCATTGTCCCTCTAGGAGAGTGTCTTTTAACCCTGTGGGCCATAACGCACATTGTGACTCCCCCCTGCCCCCCATTACGTGACGCCCACCCCCCACCCCGGTGCGTCTCCGGCTTTACCGCAGTGCGCGCGTGCAGCACAGACTCGCAGCAAGGTGCGGTCGCAGCGCCTGCGTTTCCTCGCAGGTCATGGTGTCGCTTGCAGGTTATTTGCTGTCGTAGTGCTCGCAGGCTGCTGTTGTGCTAGCTGGCTACTGGTGTTCACGGGCTAGTGTGGCGTCCACAGGCTCATTGCCCGTGCTCGCAGACGTGGTGCTGCCGTATTGTTGCTCTTGCAGGGCCTGATATGTTTTTGCGCACGCACGCGGAGTTCAGACGATGTTCTTGTGCTGGAAGTGTAGCAACAGATTTAGTAGCAGTACTGTTGGCAGTAGCAGCGGTATCAGGAGGAGGAGGCAAAGGACGAGGAGGGAGGGTGCACGGGGACGTAGTGGGCGTAGTCTTCATCTTCGACGTCGTTTTGGTCTTATGGTCGTGGTGATCGTTGTTGTGACTGTCGTGTCGTCATCATAATCTTCGTGGTGTCGTATTGGTCTTGATCGTAGTGATAGTCGTCGTAGTCGGCGTGTGGTCGTCGTTGTGATCGTCGTCGTGACTGTCTTAGTCGTCGTAGCCTTTGTAGTCGTCGCGATCTTCGTCGTAGTCGTCGTGATCGTCGTTGCGGTCGTCATCGCGATCGTCTTCGTGTGGTCGTCGGGATCGGCGTCGTAGTCGTCGGGATCTTCCTCGCAGTCGTCCTGGTTGTCGTTGTTTTCCTAAGTGTACGCAGGCGCTTTAGTGAACGCAGGCGCTCCAGTGAACGCGGCTGCTGTGGTGGTTGCGCGCTGGCGCTGTTGTGTGTACGAAATCGTTGTGATGCACGCAGCCATTGTGGTGTCCACAGGCGCTGTGTTACACGCGTCTGCGGCGGTGCAGACTGGTGTACACTGTGGTGCATGTTGTGATGCGCACTGGCGCTGTGTGGTGCCGGCTTGAACCACATGGCTGGGGGGGCGTTACGTTATGCCCGCCCCACCCCCCACCGCCCCCCTCCCCCCAAATAACGCCCGTTACTCCGTCTGGCCCGCTGGCGGGGCTGGCCGCACCACACGCTCGGGGCGTGACCCGTCCCCCTGAGCGGCGCGCTTCTTCCCCCTTCTTTCGGCCGCGTCCTCCTCCTGCTCCCACTCTTGCATGGTGGCACAATGTGCCCTAACGGCAGCCCCGTTTAGGCCTTTCCGCTAGCGCCGACTTCCCCTGCTTCGTCGCCGACGCAGAACACATTCTGTCCCATCTGCCCTCCGCTGGTTCTGACCTCGCGTGGCGGGCGAAGGAGGGCGGCCTATTGCCTGGCGCGGTGGTCGTGCAGAGGCGCCCTCTGCGGTTGCGCGGCCCCCCCCCCAGGTGGCGGGCTCCCCGCTGCGCGCCCAAGGCTTCAGCGCGCCCTCCTCGGTGCTGCTCGAGGCGGGCGGGGCCGGGAGAGGTTCTTCCACAGGGCGCGCGCAGGGACTGTTGCACTGGGGACAGGGCCGCGTGCGCGAGGAGACGGATACAAGCACGTGTGTCTGTTGATGTCCATGTTTGTTTTAACTACATTTATGTATGTATATATGTATGCATGTATGTATTTATGTGTGTGTATGGATGTATGTGTGTATGTAATGTAATGTAATGTAATGTAATGTAATGTAATGTAATGTAATCTAGTGTAATGTAATGTAATGTAATGCAATGTACTGTACTGCGATGTAATGTAATGTACTGTAGTGTAATGTAATGTAATGTAAGGTATGTATGTATGTATGTATGTATGTATGCACGAATGTAGGTATGCATGTATATACACTACAGAGAGGCAGAGAGAGAGGGATCTGACAAAACTCACGAACAAGAAAAACAAGGAACAGCGATAGGAGGGATACAGAGAAAGAGCGACAGAGAGAGAGAGAGAGAGAGAGATAGAGGCCGAGGCGGACAGGGGGAGGGGGAGGGCGCAGACGAGAGCTAGAGAGGCTGAGAGACTTGCATTCAGACAGAGAGAGAGAGAGAGAAAGAGAGAGAGAGAGAGAGAAAAAGAGAGAGAGAGAGAGGGGGAGACAGAGAGAGAGAGACACAGACACATCGGGAGGCAGAGTTGACAGTAGAGGTTCATAAGCTGGCATAGAGACGTATTGTCGTAGGCGTGCTAGCGCATATAGGGATGCTCAAGGTGCGTGTGTGCGTGTGTGCGCACGCTCTTGTATGTATACGTCTGTATATGCACGCATTTTGTTTCTACGGCTGTCTGTGGCAAAATGACACTGTGCCAGCGCAACAGCGTGGCAGGAACGATGTTCAGCTCAAAACCCGCTTGAGTTAGTGTCCTATCTGAATTGGCGCGGGTCTTGAAGGTCCTCTCCATGGCCACATCTCTGTCCTCATCCTCCTTCCCTTTTTTCCACCCCTTCCGCTCTATTCATCCGTCATGAGGTGCCTCGGAAGAGGTGTTGGCCCGACTTTCTTGGTCGGGTAATTTGAGCGAGAGATATCGGGACCCTGATGCGTGAAACAATTCCGACATGCAGGGGAGCTATCATGATGGATGCGTATTGCATGTGTAATCACTAAACATGTTGGTGAATTAGTTCTGGTTGGACCCTCATGTCTGAAGAATAAGTATTGCTGATTCCCCCGTCTTGCGCGCAATGTTCCCCGCAGCCTAAATGGGATTCCTGTTTTCTCTGGATACCCCGCGCAGTCCTCACCCACCCCTCCTCTTTTCTCGTCTCCACTCCGTGTCCTCCCTCTCGTCATCATCATGATCACCAGTACCACCACGCGCGCTGAACCATTGAACACTTACGCACTCACACTTGCACGCCCATACACTCGTATCGAGGGAGTCTCGCTGGGGGGCCTCGTCTGTGACTGAATCGCTAGGCGGTTTCAGGCGGGAGCCCCCCTCCCTGTGGGGTGTGCGCTTCACACTTTAACCCGAGGCGGCCATCGGCGCACCCTGTAAAAACACAGGTTTTGTGATCACAGAGCCGCCAGAACTCCACCACTCTCAGTCCCGAATTTTCGGAGCCAAGTGTAAGCCACTTCTTGCTTTCCGAGTTCTCCGAGTTCCACAGCCGGGCCTGATTTTGTATGTCCGGAGCTAAGTTTATTGCTCGGACTGGTGTTGCCTCTCTGCATGGGGAGGGGAGGGGGAGGGGAGGGGAGGGGATGGTTGGGGTTTGAGGGGCGGGGGAGGGGGGAGGAAGGGAGGGTGGTGGGGAAGGGGAGGGGAGGGGAGGGGAGGGGAGGAGGAGGATGAGGAGGTCGACGACGACCAGGAGAGCCAGCAACAGCGGCGGCAGCGGCGGCGGTGGTGCCAACGGCGCGGCCCTGCCACTCGCGCCCGCGCCCCGCCTCCGGCCGCCGAGAGGCTGCGGCCAGGGCAGCCGCGCGGGGGGGCCCAGAGGGCGCGTCCCCTGGCGAGAGCGACGGGGGCGGCGGCTGATCCGCGCCCCGACCCTCGCGCGCGGGGGGGGGGCCTCGCCGCCGTCGGCGGCCGCGCGGCCGTGCGGGCGAGCGCGCCCGCCGCGAAGAGCGTTCGCCTGGCCTTGGGGCTCGCCGCGCGTCTCTCCCGCGTGCCTGGCGCACGGCCCCCTTTGTGGGGGAGGAGGGGGGGAGGAGGAGGGGGAGGAGGAGGAGAAGGAGGAGGATTACTAGGATTACCGCCTTGACAGATGTCAATAACCACTCCGCGTCCCATCAAACTTTGGGGAAGAGATCACGTGAGATTCGGTCAAGATACTCTCGACGACTCTTGGTGATGAGAGCTGGCTTGCATGGCACTCCCAGCCCTCTCAGTTGGGACTGGCCGAAATAGCCACACACTGCACAGTACCAGATGCCAAAAGACACGTGATGATATACACCGCACTCACATCTATACCCCTGGGTGGGTGTATGTGCGGCCGTTTTTGCGCTGTCATGTGCGCGCATGTGCGCGGCATGTGCCAGTCATGTGCCAGGCCTGTGCGGTCCTTCTTGGATGGACTTCCTACTGTGCACGTCGTGCCCGGGCATGTGCGGGGGCATGTGCGCTGTGTTTTGATGTATCCATCATACGCACATGCACGCACAGTCCGACGCACATGCGCGCACATGCTTGCACATGCGGGAGGTGTTCGAGAATCGCAGATCTGTCATCGGCACATGCACGCACATGCCTGCGCAACCTCTCTTCGGGAGGCCGCGCGGGCCCGCACATGCACGCACATGCGGTGAAGCGCGCGGGCGCACATGCGTGCACATCCCAATGCACATGCACGCTCATGCCCTAGGAGCTGTCTGGGACCCCTGTGCCTCCAATGCCTCCTGGCCTTCGCAGAGCTAACCTGGGGCGTGCCAGGGCTTCCTGAAAGAGTTTGTTGTGCGTTTAGGCTCGCCCGCTGCTGGCGGGGGCGGTTATTCGCCCGGTTCGTGAGCTGGCGGTGGCGCGCCCGCCTAATAAAATACTCTCCCGCGCGCCTTCTCAGCTCGGCCGGAGAAGCAGGGATGGGGGGGGGGAGGGGGGGGGGGGGAGGAGGGGGGGGCGGAGGAGGCGGGCGCCCCCGGCCACTGGCCCAGCCTGCCTGTTCGGCTCGGCCAGAGGAGAAGGAGGAGGAGGAGGAGGAGGAGGAGGAGGAGGAGGAGGAGGAGGAGGAGGAGGAGGAGGAGGGAGGAGGAGGAGGAGGAGGAGGAGGTGAGAGTTGCGAGGATGTCTCAGGCGAAAGTGGCTTGACGGCCCGAGCTCAGGGAATCTCGGAATCGCTGGCCTGGCTCGGCCACCGGCGAGCTCGGCCTGTGCGAATACTGTGCGTACCTGTGCAGTGCATGTGCGGGACGTGCAAGAATGCCGGGGCCGGCGTTCGTCTCCGGACGCCGGCGCGTTCGCGTCCGGCCAGTTCCGCGTGAGACGTCGTCGGCAATTTGGAGGCCGACGTGCTTTGACATGAAGTGATCTGGCCACCTTCGCCTGAGACATCCTCGCAACTCTGGTCTCGGAGATGCCCTGCCCCATGGTGGCCCGGCCACTTTCGCTTGAGACATCCTCGGGACTCTGGGTTTCGAGACGCCCTGAGCTGAGGTGGTTAGACCACTTTCGCCTGAGACATCCTCGCAACTCTGACCTCAGAGATCTCCTGCCCCCTGCTGGTCAGGCCACTGTCGCCTGAGACATCCTCGCAAGTCTCGATTCCGATATGCCCCGAGCTGAGGTGGTCAGCCACTGTCGCCTGAGACATCCTCGCAACCCTGATCTCAATGATGCCCTGCTCGATAGTGTCTCGGCCCCTTTCGCCTGAGACATCCTCGGAACTCTGGGTTCCGAGACGCCCTGAGCTGAGGTGGTTAGACCACTTTCGCTTTAGACATCCTCGCCCGAGATGCCCTGAGTTGAGCTGTTCAGGCCACTTTTGCCTGAGACATCCTCGCAACTCTGACCTCAGTGATGCCCTGCTCCATAGTGTCTCGGCCTTTTTCGCCTGAGACCCTCGCAACTCTGGGTTCTGAGATGCCCTGAGCAGGTGGTCAGGCCAGTCCTGCCTGAGACATCCTCGCAACTCTGGGCTCCGAGATGCCCTGGGCTGAGGTGGTCAGACCACTCTCCCCAGAGACATCCTCGCAACTCTGACCTCAGAGATCTCTTGCCCCATGGTGGTCAGGCCACTTTCGCTTGAGACATCCTCACAACTCAGACCTCGGAGGTGTCCTGCCCCATGGTCGACTGGTCACCTTGACCAGCGACATCCTCGCCACTCTGGTTTCCAAGATGCCCTGCCCCATGGTGATCCGGCCACGCTTGCCTGAGACATCCTCGGAGCTCTGGGTTGCGAAATGCCCCGAGCTCAGGTGGTCAGGCCACTATCGCCTGCGACATCTCTGCGGCATGTGCGGGCATGTGCGTCTATGCTTTCAGAGTTTTGCTTGACCGTGCATTCGACTGTGCGTCGGACGGTGTGGCATGTGCGCGCATGTGCGGCAATGCTGTTGAGGCTTTTGTATATTTGCATGGGCATGTGCATGCGACTGTGCGGCATGTGCCTGCATGTGCGGCCCCTTCCGGACCACAATTTCAAAGTGAGCACTATAGAAGTGAGCGCTATAGAAGTGAGTCCGGTGTAACGAATGTGAGGGCTGAGCCCAACCACCAGCAATATGTACAAATCGTCCTCGGGGGAGCCTCAAGATTCTACCATTCACATTTTCCAGGGACGTGCACACACACACACACACACTCAAGCCAGGCCTTCACACTCGCATTCGAAGCACTACCCCTACACACCGTACAAGACTTCCCGTCATCACCTAAACAATGTGCCGTCGCGAAGCGTGCAACAATATTAGGAGCGGGGGGAGGCGGAGGGGGAGGAGGCGGGGGAGGGACTCCAGAAGGCAAACCCTCAGCCATTCTCACTCTCCTCGCCTCCTGCTTCTGCTGGGTCTCGAACTTGATGACCAGCAGGGCGGCCCGCAGCAGCCGCCGTCGAACGTGCGCTGCATCGCGCTCCACTGCCAGCACTCGACCACGATGTTGCTCTGGAATACGACACTTTCCTGCTGCAGCATCTGCTAACTTGTCCGCAACCTCATTGCCCTGCACCAGCCAGCTCGCAATACCACGACCGAGGTACTCCGTCGGTGATAGATGAGAGGACACCTGCAACACAATCACATCTGCCTGGGATCGGCCTTGGCTCTGGAGGAGTTCATGGATGACCCTCCAGACGTCAGCATTCTGGTCCGCGGGTCGTGAATGCTTCGCTTGCCACCAGCCGCGACAAACTTCAGCATTGTCGGTCACATAGACCAATACCCCTGTTGAATACTCGATGGCCGTAGCCAGACACCAGAGCTCGCCCCTCGGCACCGTCTGCTTGGACTGCGGCCCCCACAGAGGTCCCAACATGTACGGCCTCAAGGATACAGGCGAAAACGAATCAATAACAGCAAGCCCCAGCCCGACTCGCCGAAGACGAACATCTCGTGACTCTGCTCCCCCTGAGGCGTCGCCGAACACCAGAAGCGGTGCTGACCTTGTTCCTGAACCCAGACAGCCGCTGTGAAGGTGACTCATGTTGCCAACCTCCCACTGCGGCGTCTGTGCGGGCTCTGGCACCCACGTCCACGCGGACGGGATGAGGCCCCTGGTCCAGAAACATGTCGCACTCTCTCGCTCCGCACCTGCTCTCGCCACTAGATAATCAGAATCTGAAAAGGCTCGACCTCCGTCATTGGCTGAACACTCCCATGTACGATGAAAGGCCGTTTCCACAGATTCCTTGCAACGATCGCACACATTGGATACACAACCCTTCACCTTAGCAGCAAACTTCCGCTCGTTGGGCCAGGACCCGCCCACAGCAATGGATATCATCAGTTCAACCAGCTGTCTCCCTTTATATGCCTGGCCGAGACACGATAGAAACTGCCGATAACTGGCACAGTCCACACCACCAGCCATGCCTTCGCCACAATACAACTTGGCTGTCTCTCGCCATTGTTTTGCCGCGAGCGACTCCACGAACTCATCCAGTAGAGGCGCCACTTGATCATGCCCAACAATTTCAGCTGAAGAGAAATTCCAAACATGCCGATCTTGTGTACGATCATTTGTGGTGTCCCATTCGTCTGCTGATGATGGGAGCCAACCCGCCTGCAACAAATACGCGATCGTCGTCGAAACAGGACCTCTGATGTGTCGAGATCTCTGAGCCTCGGGCATCGTCGACAACAACTGCACCGTTACATTCCACACACGCTGGATGCCTTGATGCAACCGAGGCTTAGACCTCCACACCTGCAACCATTGAGCAATACTCTGCCGTGGTAATACAAGGCCTGGGTCCGATCCAGGCAGCCGTAGCTCCAGAAGCGTTGTAGTACAACGACCTCTCCTCGCCGAACTCGCAGCAGCTGCAAGCCTGCGCCGCTGCACCACCATGGACTCACCAAAGCAACCGTGCACCTGGTGGCCGTGCACCGCTGCAGCCTGAGGCCCAGCCCGCTGCACCTTCGCCGTCGTCGCATACCGACAAGCCGCCCGTGCACAACGCCGAAGCTTCGAGTGCTGAGGCTTCGCCTTGGCGACTCGCTTCCATGCTGTGTCTCGAGCGTGCCTTCGACCCCCTCCGAGGTCGACGCCCAGATGTGCCGCCTGCAAAGCCCCCTGCACCGCAATGCCTTTGCGCCTCAACTGCTGGACAACAGCCTTCGTATCAACACTGTGTGAGCACGTGACCGTCGACTTTGGAGAAATCGTCAAGTCTTGACTTTTCATGTACTTCGCCGCGCTGCAAATACCCTTGACCATCGTGAGACGCACCTGTCGTCGCGAGCCTACCGAGCGCATGGACAGGTCATCTATCCACAAGCGCTCGGACAGCGACGGATGAACTGTGCACAGACGATGGAGAACCCAGTAACTCATGCAGCGAGCAAATCTTGTTCCACTCCTCAAACCCTGCACTACCG